GCCTCTCTTCGTCTTTCATCGTTGTTTTAAATTTTCGCTCAGCAGTATGTATCTTTCTCTAACAGCACGCCTACTGACTTTGAATCGGGGAAGCTTGAGGCCGTTCAGATTGTTTGCAATCTTTTCCCTGATTTTGCCTTTAGAAATGCTTCCTTTTTTGTACTTAAAGGGTTCAAGTTCTAGAATTTCTTGACACAAGCAGTTGTCATGTCTCTTGGTCCACTCCCTGTTTGATCTGAAAAACCACAGTAATATCTAGCTTCAGCAATTTTTTCCTTAAACAAACTCGGGTAAATTATCTAGATTAGATTCCTGGTCTCCATTTAGGCCTATTTCAGTCACGAACTTTTGAAGCTGTTTAGAGGGAGAAAGAAACTTCCGTCAGTTTTCGCCTTAAAATGAGTTCTAGTACCATTTACTTTTGTCACAAGTTTGGAAAAATGTTGACAGTTCATCGTATATTGAAAATATACGATAAGTTACTTATGTTTACTTACTTACGTTTTAGACAAAAGACAAACACTTCGTTTTGACGTCGCAGACAACACAGTTACGGCGGGAAACTTCGCGCGCCGGCTACCGGAAATGCGCAGGCAAATATTTTAAACTTCCGCTCGCCGTCGTAGACATCCGTCGTCGTCCCTAAAGTCCCTATTTGCGGATCGGCTCACGTCAACCTGTCGAGCCCTACGTTTATTAAGGTTTTCAGCCAATTCAGAGACTTTCATCTTCTATTTCGCCATTATTGATGCGTAACATGTCAACGTTGCGTGCGTTTGAACTGGATACCAAATAATTCTGTGCATTTTAATCGGCCACCCACACATGTACAATGTAATTTAGTGTTAACTGAGTTGTTCATTGGTGGGAATATGGTGAGGACATTCCCACAAATGGCGTAGCTTCACTTGCATATAAACCCACACACAACCCACAATTCCTCCAATCGCTCTGACGAAGAGCTAATGCTCGAAACGTCAGCTTTTTTACCCTTTATGGTGGCTAATTTACGTTTTCAACTCAATTGTTAACTCTAAATTAACTGTTATACTCTCCCACCGACGCAGCACCACAGTTTCCTCAGAAACTTACCCCCTTTATTCATGTACACCTTTATTCATGTACAATGTAGCCATTCAGAGTATGGAGTTACCGTGTTTTTAGACCGAAATCTGGCAGCTCTTGTTCAATAGAGAACAATACGAGTCAGAATAGGATTACGATTGTGCATGTTCACCCCCGAGTTAATTAGTCTTTTGGTTACATTAACAGCAAACTGGTGTATGATTGTAGATGTCACTCATAGAATTTACAAAATTACAAAAGATTTTATTAGGGTTTGTGCAGAATTTCGACATTGGTTTAACTAAGACGGCAGTTTGAATCTCTCTTCTTGTCTATTTCCCGAGAGTGTTGCTTTCAAGACTACAATTACTATAGAAATTCATGGTCATTATTACATTGTCACCGCTAAAATGCAAAAATGAAATGCGAGTCTAAGTTAAAAGGTTTCGTTCCAATGATTACTAGCACGTTGAATTAAGCTTTGAAAACGAGAACTATCTCAGATACATAGAGATGATTCCTTGGAAAGTGCGTACGAACGATTTTTATTCACGGGTTGCGATAAACCATAAAAAAAAAACCAGTGAGCGCAGCGAACAGAAAAGTTTTTGGATGAATCGCGTTTTCCATGATATGAAGTTTTTATTTCATTCATACTTAGATTTTTTTCTCACTGAACAAAAAATTTCAAAGATTGGAAGTAAACGACTTTTAAACGAAGAATGTGAAAAAGACGATTTTATCGAGCTTTTGACTTTTAAATTGTAAGCGTATTATCTATGGAACACATGAATAGTGAAAGTCAAAGTAAAAGTGTTTGTGGAAAGACCGCCTAAAAAAACGCAAAATTCAACTATTAAAATATGGATGCTGAGTATTTAAGGTTGCCCTCTTTTGATAACGAGTCAGTGTAACTATCTGAAATGTTAAACGTTTAGTTCAAGTTCAACCCCTAAGGTGGACCACACTTGAAAGCATACATATGATGTCCTTTTTCTTTAATCTTAGCCTTGCTCCAATGGTTTCTCAGAGTCGTATTTTGTTGGCTGAGTTTCCTTTTTTAAGAAGAAAATGAATCCACAAAAAGGTTACACGTCATATTTAGCTCCAAACCAGTGCTGGGTTGTGGAAGCAGTTGAGAACGAGCAACTGTGATCCTGATTTATATCGTTGCAGCTATACTCTCCGAAATTGTCTTCCTTGTTGATGAGTCCTCCTGGTCTTCTATCAAATTTAAATCCCCTCTCAATGCTATTGTAACTCCATATGTGCCAGGATGCCTCCTCTGACATTTCCAATTTTTTCCTTGCTCTTCAATATCACAAAAAGCAATTAAACTGGAAGAGACCAGAAACAATGAAAAGAGCTCGCCATGATTTGTTTTTCATCAAGAAAAATCAATACTTACAGCTGGGTGTCAAAACTTGTTGTCTCCACAATTAGAAGGGTAAAAAATTGTATTTTGATACGTTTCCAAAGAGGAGTTGAGTGTGATTCAGTTGAATAGCCCTTTTTTTTCTTTTAGTCCTTCACAGAAGTGTCTTAATAGCTAAAAAAAGGAGTTTCAATTTTTTTTTCTTTTTTCTTTTTTTTTTTTTTTTTTTTTACATTCGTGGGAGGATATACGTCGCAATGTGTCTTTTAATTATCTTTGGAAGAGTGATCACAAACAAATCAAGTAATTTCACAACAAGTAGCGGTAGACACCAGCGACAGACAAAGAAGATCGCCAATACCTTTTAATCTTTCAACTGTCTTTCATTCAGAAAAATAGATACTTACAGCTGGGTGTCAAAACTCCTTGTCTCCCTATTGAAAGGAATGAAATAAACCACAGTTTCCTTCGTTTCCATAGAGGAATTGACTTTGTTACAGTTAAAAGATGCAGTTAAAAAATTAACATGAATTATGAATGATGGTCGATCCAGCTCCAGCTCTATATTTTTTGGCTGAGCTCTCTATAAAGGGATTCACAAAAGCAAAGGTTCAAAAACTGAGAAACAGTCCAATTGGAAATTACCTCACTCAACCCTCCTTACTTTTGTATCTGCCGCCTTTGATGATATTTCAATTGGGTTTCTTTTAAGTTATTCGTACATTAAAGGAGCTGAATGTTTGCAATGACTTTTTAAAAAAGTATTAGTATGCAAAGAGAAAAATAGAAAACAATTTAAGGATACGGTGCAGAAACACTAAAATTTAGTTTACACCACGCACAAAACTAATGTCCCTGGTTGGCACAGTGTCGTTTCTCAAAAAGCGCTTCATCTTCATCCCTTGAGCCTCCATCATGCTGTTTAATATGGACAAGTTTCGCTCATAGCATAATTCTTCAAAATTTGCCCAACAAAGCCACGTTTACGGCCAAGTTGGATCGTTAAGATCGTGTCTTTGTCTGCGGAAAAATTTCACCCATTTTCCTCTCACAGTCGGGATCGTTCGGGAACTGAAACATTCTATGCCCGGTGCCGGAACGATCTATTCTGGCAGTTTTGCTGGTCAGAGCCGGGCACCAGCGACACAATATCGCCCTCGTTGTCGCGTATCTTTCATACTATTCGCCATACTGAATTCGATTTAATGTCACCAAAGTGACGTCAGTGGTTTTTGGTCAAATGGTACTTTGGCTACGCAATTCGAATACCATTTTTGAGGGGAAAATGGCATAACTTTAAAAGCTTTCAAAATTGTCAATTTTATCATTGAACGTTTCAAACTTCGGAAACGTAGATTTCAAATAATAAACTTTATAACTACAATATACCTTCATGGTCACTTGGATTTGTATTTAATAATGTATTGATAGCGCGTCCAACAGTGTAATGTCGCTGTAAATCCACGTGCTTAAAGTAAAAGTTTGGAATGCGACTTTGAAAAAGACGAACACAAGTTCGTAACATTACGATGAGCAACAATCGTTCACAACTAATATGATAATATAATAAGATGATGTCTCACATTATGTACAACAATACCTGGTGCTTCTCTTGACAAACACCTGCTCCAACTACTATACTTACTTCATCTCCTACATTTTGAACATTTCAAAAATTGTTTCATGAACAAATGTGTAATGTTATAATGTAAGCAGTGATCCTAACGAAGCACTTAAGTACCTTAGTCTTTATGAAAGAGAGGCTGTTGAGGGCTTCTCGTAGTTATGTATCGAGTCCCTAATATCAAGTAAAGCTGTACATATTTATCACTTAGGAGAAATTAATAACATCTCCCTGCCACTAAGTAAATACCATTTCTCCTCACTGTACGGATTTTTTAAAGCGAAATCAAGAAACCTAAACTTAAAGCTTGGTTTTACTAATGATCAAACTAACGAAGCCGAAGCTAATTTTCAATTATCAGTAAATAGAAAACGGTTGATTGACCGAGTCAAGAAAATGTCACCTTACGACGACAAAACATGTCATAATTAGATTAATAGCATACGGAGGTATTTAAACATCTCTGAATCTAAACACAAGCATTTCAACTTACGCTTAGTCACTTGCTTGAAAAGAATTTGCATAAATCAACTAATGGTGAGCCCTGAATGCGTTTTCATGCACGAATATGAAAAAAGCCAATTTTATCGACCTTTGACTTTTGGGATGTAAGTGTACTATCTATTGAACATTACATGAAAAGATGAAAGTGCAGGTAAAAAGTGTTTGTAGAGAGGCCACCTACTTACTTCAACTATTGAAATATAGACGCTGTGTACCTAAGATTGCTTATGACGTCGCTCTTGTGCACGTCTGCATTCTACTGTAATAAAGAGTCGGTGCAACTATCTGAAATATTAAACGTTTAGTTCAAGTTCAACTCCTAATTGGACCAAACTTGGAGGCACATGATGTCATTGTTAGTTCTTAGCCTTGCTCCGATGTTCAGTTGGCTGTGTTTCCTTTTCTGAGAAAGGAAATGAATTTGCAAAAAAGTCACACGTCACATTTAGCTCCAAACCAATGCTGCGTTGTAGAAGCAGGAGAAGACGAGCAGCGGTGATCCGGATTTATATACAGGTTGTGAAATTTTCCGAAATTTTTTTCATCGGGGACTCCACCTGGTTTTCCATCTAATTCACATCCGAATTGTGTGCTTCTGTAACTCCTTATGTGCCAGGACACATTTTCCTGCTGTTTTGTCAGGGCGGTGCAATTAGAACAAGAGTTTCCCCGGATATTAACATATTCGTACATCTGGCAGGTGTCCCAGGTACCAAAAATGTTATGACCTGCCAGCTTAGCGCGTGCGTAGTCCGTATACTGCAGACCATCCGTAGAAAAGTTACAAGTTGCTCTCAGATGTGTGGAGTAAATAGCAAGAGACTGCATCTGTGATAAGGATAGTCGGAACTCGCTCCAATTCACTTCCCCCTCTCTAATATCAATCTCAAAGTTTTTGCCAAACTCTGCATAATTGAAGGCATTTCTCTTGGACAAGGATAACGATTGTATTAACGTCCATACAAAGCCAGGTTCAGACTGCAAGTCACAGTAAACAGAAAACCGTTCATTGTCTGAATTATAGATGTCGTATTTTCCTGATGTCGAGGCACCGTTCTTAGCTACGTCTTTGCAGCTTCTCGGATGTTTCATCTTCTCACACCGCTGACCAGAGTATGTGATAGGACAGGTACAGTTAAACCTGATGCTGTGAGCGTCACAAATCTCTTGACATACACCTCCATTGAGACAAGGATTGGTGCGGCAGCATCTGTCGATGCAATGATGCTTCTCTGGTGTGTATTTGTCTCCACCCTACAGCAACATTCGAAGGATTTTTTAGCTCAGCATGCTCATCGAATTGGGTTAGCATGTGCGCTTTAGCAACCGTCGACAAATCTCACCGGAAACGGATCGAATCGATAACAAACAGTGCGAGCAAAGTACGAGTGCCTACAACACATAGCGGGGCGCCAGAATGGAGATGAAATATCCATCAAAATTAGATTTGAAATGCAGTAATACAACAATGGTAAAGTCAATGATGTCTTTATGAAATTTGTAGTCACTTCTGTTCTGCCGTTCCCTTCGCATTACAACACGGCCTTTAAGAGAAAAATTTGCGAGGAAGAGAATGAACCCAATCCTCTCTTAGCCAAATCAGTTTGTTTTAGTTTTGTCTAGATCAATCATATCGCAGAATGATCGGTATGCACAAAATTGTCTTTGGCCCGGACTGACATATAACACAACTGTTTTTTAAGGAGTACCGCAAAACTTGATCATGTGGAAATATTTATTTTATTTACGAACTTGAACATCTTGGGATATTTACTTTATTTAAGAAAGTTCAAAAATAAATGAATAAGGAATTAGATAAATAATCTTATCTCACCTTCACCGTGTAGCTTCTCACCAAATCATAATAATTTCCCCCTTGCCTCCATTTCATCGCCGCTGGCTCCATGTCTTTGTTAGCATCGTTAAGCTCACAATTGTTTTCTTTGGAAAGAGGGAAATAGTTCATGGATACACACAGGCAGTCATCTTTGCACTTCAAGTGACACTGGATGGCGTTTGGGACTGTCAATCTTTCAAACACGTGACCCTCAAGAATTTGGTTATGGATGACATCGTCATCGATAGCAAACTTGAAGTTTTGACAAGTTACTTTTTTCTGTGCCTCAGTGGAGAGGGTCAAATTGAATACAAACAGCACGACTTGGAGATATTGTACGATGCCCATAGCAATAGCACTACTAATGTGAAGAAAAAAAAGATACATGATTATTTCTGATAAGCATGGGGTAATTTGGAACGAAACATATAGATATTTGGGTCTTTTGCTTAATTGCGACGGAAAGAAAATAATAGTTAGCAGTAAATTGCCAAAATTTTATTCGTTAGCCGAAAGAGCCATTACCATATTGAGACCTTCTTCTGAGTCAGTAAACGTTTTGAAAGACTGAAAAGAGTGTATCCGTCTCGCTGTAAAGTCGATCTCTACAGAATCACATATTTGCGGAATTTTGAAAAGAAGACTAGGCAAACATTCAAGCCCAAACGAAATTGCTCCTCGACGGTTTGTGTTAGGAATGCTCTACAAAAGGAGCCGTAAACGTTCCCTGCAGTTTAGCCTAAGCTGAACACAGTTTATAAAGAATTGATTGTATGCTCAAATGCGGATTTCTCTTCATTGCCCAGGTTACAATGGAGGGAGATATATTGGCAAATGGAACTGATATAAAAAAAATACACGAACCAGTAATTGCTGATTAAAAGTATGTCGGTTGCAGTTAGTTGAATGCAAAGCTAAATGTCGAAGTATATCAAATCTCAGTGAAACAGCCGCTGCAATGAACTTTATCAAAGACTGACGTTCATGTATCAAATCGCCCAAGTTTAAGGAGTGTTTCTTGAAACGTAAAACTTTCAAAAGTTTCGTGTGTGTCATTTATTAAAAAAAAGCGTTTTGAAAATAAGAGACGTCTCAGAACGTTTTGTGTTACAAAACCAAAAAAGGGAAACTCTACCCACCATCAGTTGTTAAAAGATCCTCTTTCAGCGATGCACTTATGAATCTCTGTGCTCTACAAAGTCAACTCTAAGAACGATTTGGAATGTATTATTCACACTTGAATATTTAAAAAGGGTCGCATTTTATTTTTTTACCATAGGAGTATAGGATATACAATATTAATGAAAGCTCTTAAAGTAAGCTTTCCTTCCATCGATGAATGATAATATCTCGAGTTTCGCTACACCTATAAATTTCGCAACCGTATGGCTGGTTTCTTTTCCAGCTTTAAGAAAAGAAATAGAATACAGACCAGTCAGCTAACAAACTCTGATCTTATGTTGTATCCGTAGACTGTAAAAACACATAAGTTCTGTCTGTAGAGCCAGTTAGTAATTATTCACCGAAGTGGAAAAAATTAAATATTGTAGTCAATAAACCGAAAAACTAGAAAAACTTAAGTGAATTATTTAGGTTCATAAGTGCAGCTTTAAAAGATGTTTTCAATAAGAATCGCAATGTTTTTCAAAATATGAAGACCCCCCGTCAAGTTCGACTTTCGAACATGGCAGCCCTTCTGTCGCGGTGACTATTAATGTATAATGTTCCGAAACTTTTTAATTTTTAAAATTAATAGTAAAAGGGCGTCAATTTTGGCCTCATTTTGCTAAAAGAACCGATATTTTGACGAGTTAAGAAGAAAAGCTACCCACATAAAAGAGCTTGAAAGCAAGGGCAGAAATTTACTGTAGCCTGTTTTATTTGATTTTCATGATAAGAATTCCACTTTTGACAGAGTAGATCACTTCAGGATATTCGTCTGCCCAGTAAATTGAATAAAATAGACTAAACAACTTAAGTTTACCACATCTTTGGCACAGTGTAGCTCCTCACCTGATTATGGTAATTTCTTCCTTCTCTAAATTTCATCGCTAATGGCTTCATATCTTGATTGGCATCATTGAGCTCTCAGTTGCTTGATTTGAACCGAGGGAATAATGATTATATATACAAGCAGTCATCCTTACACATCACATGTAACAAACGAATGGTAGCAAAATAAGGCACATAGCTCCCTAATTATCTATAATTGTCATAATCACCTACACAATTATCTCTTGGCCATGAATCAGAGATGAACGAGGGAAAGCTGTTGAAGTCATTGAGGTGCCTGTTCGAGTTAACCCGAGGTGACTACACTAACATGATTGTTGCATCAGTTAACTGCTGCTTGGAAAAACCTAAGATGAGTTAACGCCCTGAACGTAAGCTTGCATGTGGAAATGGGCCCCCGAGGCTATTTTTCCACGTTGTAATTGATAAGTGATGGAAAGTTTTACGTTCGTTACACACTCAACTTATCTATATTTTCAAGCAAGAACGAATAATTGACCCGGTTGTTATTTGTCCAACTTGTTTTGATCAACACACTTTGCCAGTGATATTTCATTCGAAGTTTCAATGGCCCAACGATGTGCAAAGTTTCACTCATGAATTTAAAAATTTGCATGAAAAAATGATAAAATATCACAAAATCTTTCTCAAACGCTGACCCTTCTCTAGAAAGATGTGCAAATAAGGAACATAGATGATAATATTAGACACTTGTTATCATTGATACTTCTTCACATTATGTAAATTTTGAATAAGAGCCGAATGATATGAATTATCCAAGAACGCATGCCATCCATTCACAGTTTAAAAGCGTCAACTAGAGAAGGAGAGATTAAGGTCAGACTTCACCATTGAGGAGTCTACTAGGGATCAAAACTAGAAGTAATAATAATAATAACGCTGAAATAGAATACAACCCGAAGCAATTTTACTGTTTCTCCAGGCATTATTGTTGATGTCTTTTTTTTTTTCTGCAGTCATCCACCCCAGACGAAAGACACGCACCCAGGCCGTAAAATGATCGTCCGTGCCAAACCGATAATAAACAGTACTTACTCGTTTGAAAAACTTCATGAAAAAGAATCTGTATATGGCAGAAATTCAAAATAAACACGAGTACTGTAAATCAAACATCGTAATTTGTTATGGAAATTAGTGTAATGAGATCATTTTGCAATGAAAAACCTTCACAAATGTTACGTCGTTAAATTTTTAGTTTTCGTTGCTTCTCTCTAACTTATTAAGTAAGTATGCTTGATTTAGAAGCCAGAAATAATCGTAAATAGTTGAATTAGATCAATGTTTTGTCGGTGAGGGATGTAGCCGCTTCATTAACAGAAAACGATAGAGATTGTGTCATTATTTTTTTTAGCTTTAAGGGGGCCTTCTGGTTTCCCCAATAAAAATTATAATTATCTTAGATAAGCTACCATTTTACACTCGGTTGCGGATGGCAACTTATTTCATCCTAAAAATACAAAAGAAATAATAAAATAACTTCCTATAACTTCAAGCTTTAACAAAAACAAAACAAACAAACTCACAATAACAAAGTAAAAATTTCGAAATCATCTAATAACTGAGTAATCCTTTATAGTTTCGTTATATGAAGTTTCCTTTATTTTCATAATATTCACAAGCAAACCTGTACACTAATGTTACACAAAACTGGACGGTCAAGCTTGGCTTGATAGTAATTAGCCAAAGAAGAAGGAGAAATTCGAAGTTTTTGTAATTAGATCAGTCTCAAAAGGGGCTTTCCTAAATGACAATTTTGACTGAAGCCGGTTGGTGAGAAAGAGAGGGCATTTTTATCATTAAACCACTTTCCAAATCCTTCGACCAGGTACATGGTAAACTCTTCCTCTTGACAACAGATACAAAGTGAGTCGTTTTCGACTTCAAAGATGTAAAGATTTCTTTGTGCAAATTTATGACAGTGGACTTCTATCATCCTGCTGACTCCTGAGATGTATCTACAAGGCTGCAGAAGAGATCGGTTTTCGAGTTATTTTACCACAAATGTCTCTTTCTCTCTAAATAAAAATAACAAAGTAATACCTGAGGGTATGTAAATTGATGAAACAGCATTCAGGCGATTAAATAAAATGTGATGATGCCCCTTCCTATAGCTATCAAATCCTATACAAACAAACTTAATGCAACTATGCAATTCAGTCTTCGTCTTAAGCTATGCAACTTAGTTGAATAGCAACTAAGACCCTAGTTGGTCTTTACCCTTGGTTGTTCTAACTCCAGAAGATAACATATTTAAATTTTTTTAGGCTTTTTAATGTTATGTTATATTATATTGTGTATGTTACAGATATAAGTTTTTTTTAAGGTTCCTAGGGCGTATTTGAACATATTCGTATTTTAGCTTACGTATACTAGCCATGAATTATTTTTAAACTACTATCACAGCGCAATTTTGTTCTTGTTTTTATGCTTCAAAAGGGAGCCAGGATTGCATTAGCTTTGCATTTTTGGTATACAAAGCTCGGGCTAATCTTCTACCTAAGCAATGCAAAGCTAAAAAAAATCACAGATTACAACGCTTGCAATTGCTTGTTAGTCTTTGAATTCTGAATGTTCCCGTGATATCATATTTTGTTCTGATTGGCTGTCTTTATTGTTTCGGTTTGACGGTAACGGTAACGGAAGTGGAACGGTAACGAGATTCAAATCAATTTCTTCGATTTCAAAACAGACAATTTTCTAGAAACCAAATGCCTTTTGGGAAAAAAAGAAACAAAACAAAGCAAAACAAAAAGCAACCACAACCAGAAAAGGTCAGAATCCTTAAAGAAAACAAAAACCTTATCTAATACTCACAACTCATTCTAGCTTTAGTAGATTATTGGAACTTAGAATAACCTATTCATGTCTAACCCCAAACCAGTATTGCGTTGAAGAAGAATCCGAAGAGGAGCAGCGGTGATTCCTATTTATCGCTCCGGAATGATACCGTCCAAAATTATTTGCGTTGTCAACGGCTCCTACAGATCCATCAAAGTCGCATTCTTTCTCCTTGCTTTTCAAACTGTTAACGAACTAAGCACCATTAAGATTCATTCTTGTGTAGGCGGTGCAATCAGAACAGTTAATACGACGGATGTTAATATACTTAAACAGTTTGCAACCTCCACCTCAGTCACCGAATATGTAATGACCTGCCAGAACAGCGCGTGCATGTTACTCTCAGATGTGTGAAGTGGTTTGAGAGAGACCGCATGAGTGATAAGGAAAAGCGGTAACAGTTCCAGTCCGGTTCATTGCTATTGTCATTCACGGGGAAATCCGTGCCAAACCCCTTATCCTTATATGTGGCCTCATTGGCAAAGGATAACGACTGTATCAATGCCCATACAAAGCCAGGTTCTGACTGCAAGTCATAGTAAACAGAAAACGGTTTATTGGCTGAATCAAAAACATCGTATTTTCCTGATTGCGAGGCCCCGTTGTTAGCTGTGCAGCTTCTTGGATGTGTAATCTGACCACAACGCTTACCAGTGTATTTGTAAGAACAGGTACAGTTAAACCTGGGGCTGTGATTGTCACAAATCTCCTAACATACTCCTGACTCTGACTGCAGCATCTATTAACGCCGCGATGTTCTCTGGAATGGAGCTTCCTCACCCTAATTGAAAATGAACTTTTTTTCTTAAACTATTTTTTGATTAAAGTAAAGTCCAGCGGTGCAGATATCCATAAGTGAATTTGAGGGGGGGGGGGGGGGGGGACGTACAATAAAGAATTGCTACATGCTTAACGTGAGTATTTCAAGTTAGAGATGCACGCAGGATATAAGTTTTAAGAGCACGAGAGAAGCGTAAGAGTTGCTTGAGTGCTCTTCAAACTTCCCAAGTGGATTCATAACTCGATACACGCACAGCTAAAGTATGAACTGAAAAAATTTCCATATAACATAGCATGCAGACACAAGTTGTGCTCGATAAAATAGAGTTTATTACAACTTTGTCCGATTTACCAGGTAATCATGTTCTACCCGAAAACTATGAATAAATGAAAAGGTAAAAACGACCAAGAAATATTTCCAGACCAAATCTTTATTCTAAGAATTGAACATTTTCTGCTCAGAGGCAAAAAACGAACGAATTTCTTGCATTTACGAGAGCGCGTAGTAGATTCAATATGCTTGAATCGTTGTTTACTAGAATTCAAGGCCAGAAATTGCGTAGGTTTATGTTGAAGATTTTGAAAATTCTGAAATAATTGTAAGGTTTTTAAAATTAAAATCCGCTATTTAACAATACTTTTAGGATATATATGAACCCTCAAAACTGATATCAACTATTCAAAAAGCTGAGCAAAAACTTACAAATCTCTCGCATCTACGAGACACTTGTGATAGATATACGCTGCTTGAATTGTTGTTTACCAAAATTTGCAACCTGAATATCGTTTAACTTTGAGTTAAAAATTCTGAAAATTGTACGATTTCAAAACAAACACAGGACGAAATTGCGAGAATCCGTAAACGGAAACGTGGCAGAAACATGTTAAACCGTTCCGGAAACACGACGGATAACCTGTGTTTCCGTTACCGGTTTCGTGACGTTTTCTCGCGTTTCCGTTGCTGCGTATACAACGGAACCGGACCACTTTTTGTGCATGTTTCCGTCAAGTTTCAGCTAGAGGAAACAAATGTTTCCGCAATCGTAATTTCGGGTTTACATTTGCGGAAACACAAGAAAACGTTGCGGAAACAACAACTTTTCCATGTTTCCGTTGACGGTCTTCTGTTGAACAAAACTTTGGGTACATAACAACGCTCAAAATAATATTTTCCGTTGTAATGAAGAGTCCCCAGCGTCGCAAAGCCTCAGTTGAAGTCAGAATACTCAGTTCTGTTTTCAGCCATAGTTCCCATCGCTTTTGTGAATAAAGTATTGTCAACTCCGAAACTAATTTCGTCGCTTGAAGGGAAAAAGAAATGCTCATTGTTTCTCGAAACCAGTCTTATTCAGCATATTTTGTTTTCATTTTGAGCTACAAAGGTCTATCTAAATAGGGATAGAACGGAAAGATAGTCTTAACTGATAGTTTTGAATTCTCGCCGCTAAACTCGACAGGACTTTTAGCAGAAGTGATACTGCACAAGTCATGTTATGAATGCACAGACGTGCACTATTTTTAGAGAATAATGCATGGGCGCGCGTGGATATGAAATGTCGAGTTGAACACTCAAAAAGCGACCTTGTATTATTTTGTTTATCATATAAACACAATAGCGCATTACTGACAAGAATAGCTGAAGTCAATAATGAAAGAAAATAAATTGAAGAATCGACAATCGTACAGTGCGTTGGCGCTAAGGCTCAAGATGGAAAAATGCTTTGAATCATGATTACAAAAACAACAATGGGCGGAATTTTAAATTTACAAAATTCTCATTTATTGACTTTTTACTTACCGACAGAAGAAGTCTTTCAAGTAAACAGCCAAAATCGACCTGTGACAAATCTTCCAGTTGTCAATTTCCGTTCTCAGCCACGACAAAGGCCATTACCAAAGTCACTGAATACGTAACTTTGGGTTTTTCTTTTCATATATTGGTTTTCTTTCCCTTCTAGGAAAGTTTGAACGTCACTCCCTGTAAGCGGTACGAAATTTTTAAATGTTTAGCCGCCATAATCCGACAAAGTTCCGCGGACAAACTACCTTGTATTGAGAATGTTGAAGGCTTTGCCGTTCATTTATCAACCTGGCCGAGTGACGCGAAAGGCGAGTGAGGTGTCAGCAGCTGATTGGCGTTATCAAACACACGTGAAAAAATATCGTATTTTTTAAATGAGTTCGTAGCAATCAGGGTACAGGTAGGGAAAAGGCAAAAAATCATGAATAGGTACGTGATCGTACTATGGTGGAACGCCGTGTAAACGGCGCTTAAGACGTTCGGCAAGATCTTAACCAGCGCCTTAAAGTGTTCTCTTCTTTTGACGCGAAAGCGATTACGTAATGCTTATCGACAAAGGGGCCATCGTTCTCCGGGGTCGAGTATCTCGATGACAGGTTAAATATCTGATATAAATAAATTGGCTGAAATAAAATGAGAATCTGAGGTACAGTGTGCATGGCGATCCAGATATATTATGCTGTGTCAATAGTAGAAAAAGTGACTTTAAACATATCGAATAAGTCACGCCAGATGAGTTTCTCAGAGTCGTATTTTGTTGGCTGAGTTTCCTTTTCTAAAGAAGAAAATGGACCCAAAAAAAATTATAGGTCATATTTAGCTCCAAACCAGTGCTGGGTTGCAGAAGCAGTTAAGGACGAGCAGCGGTGATCCTGATCTATATATCGTCACAGCCATACTCACCGAAATTGTTTTCCATGTTGATGAGTCCTCCTGGTCTTCCATCAAATTTACATCCCCTCTCAATGTTATTGTAACTCCTCATGTGGCAGGATGCCTCCGCGGACTTTGTCAATTTTTACTTTGCCCTTCAATATGGTAAATACTTCCACCTTTCTATCACTCAAAACAATTAAACTTCATAATAAGAAATGGAAGAGACCAGAAACAATGAAAAGAGTTCGCCATGAGTTGTTTTTCATCAAGAAAAATCGATACTTACAGCTGGGTGTTAAAACTTGTTGTCTCCACAATTAGAAGGAAAAAAATTGACCACGGTATTTTCTTATGTGTCCAAGGAGGAGTTGAGTGTGATTCAGTTGAAAAGCCCTTTTTTCTTTTAATCCTCCACAGAAGTGTCTTAATATTTAAAAAAAATGAGTTTTTCTAACGTTCGTGGGAGGATATACGTCGTAATGTGTCTTTTAATTATCTTTGGAGTGATGATCACAAACAAAACGAATAATTTCACAAAAAGAAGCGGTAGAGACTAGAGACAGGCAAAGGAGATCGCCAATTCCCTTTTAATCTTTAAACTGTCTTTCATTCAGAAAAATAGATACTTACAGCTGGGTGTCAAAACTCGTTGTCTCACTAATGAAAGGAATGAAATAAACCATAGTTTCCTTCATTTCCATAGAGGAATTGACTTTGCTACAGTTAAAAGAGGCAGTTGAAAAATTAACATGAATTATGAATGTGGTCGATCCGGCTCCAGCTCTTTATTTTTGGCTGAGCTCTCTGTAAAGGGGCCTACAAAAGCAAAGGTTCAAAAACAGAGAAAAAAGTCCAATTGGAAATCATCTCACTCATCCATACTTTTGTATCCGCCACCTTTGATATTATTTCAACTGGGTTTCTTTTAGGTTATTTGTACATTAAAGGAGCTGAATGTTTGGAATGACTTTTCTAAGCAGTATTAGTATGCAAAGAGAAAAAATAGAAAAACAATTTAAGGAAACGGTACAGAAACACTCAAATTTAGTTTACACCACGCACAAAACTAGTGTCCCTGGTTGGCACAGTGTCATTTTTCAAAAAGCGCTTCATCTTCATCTTCATCCCTTGGGCTTCCATCATTCTGTTTAATATGGACAAGTTTCGCTCATAGCATAATTCTTCAAAATTTGCCCAACAAAGCGACGTTTACGGCCAAGTTGGATCGTTAAGATCGGGTCTTTGTCTACGGACAAATTTCACCCATTTTCCTCTCACGGTCGGGATCGTTCGGGAACTGAAACATTCTATGCCTGGTGCCGGAATGATCTATTCTGACAGCTTTGCTGATCAGAGCCGGGGCACCAGCAACACAATATCGCCCTCGTTGCCGCGCATCTTTCATACTATTCGCCATACTGAAATCGATTTTATGTTACCAAAGTGACGTCAGCGGTTTTTTCGCGCAATTCGAATACCATTTTTGAGGGGAAAATGGCATAACTTTAAAAGCTTCCAAAATTGTCAATTTTATCATTGAACGTTTCAAACTTCGGAAACGTAGATTTCAAATAATGAACTTTATAACTAGAATATAACTTCATGGTCACTTGCATTTGTATTTAATAATGTATTGACAGCGCGTCCAACAGTGTAATATCGCCGTAAATCCACAAGCTTTAAGGAAAAGTCTGGAATGATACTATAATAAGATGATGTCTCACATTATGTACAACAATCCTGAATGACCTTTACACTTCACTGGTGCTTCTTTTGACAAACACCTGCTCCAACTACTATACCTACTTCATCTCCTACATTTTGAACATTTCAAAAATTGTTTTATGAACAAATGTACAATGTTATAAAGTAAGCAGTGATCTAACGAAGCACTTAAGTCCTTGTGAAAGAAAGGCTGTTGTGAAAGTCCTTAGTCCTTGTGAAAGAAAGGCTTTTGAGGGCTTCTCACAGTTATGCATCGAGTCCTTAATATTAAAATCAAACCAAGCTGTACATATTTATCACTTAGGAGAAATTGCTAACATCCCCCTGCCACTAAGTAAATACCATTTCTCCTCACAGTAAGGATTTTTTAAAGCGAAATCAAGAAACCTACACTTAAAGCTTAGTTTTACTAATGATCAAACTAACGAGGCCGAAGCTAATTTTCAATTATCAGTAAAGAGAAAACGGTTGATTGACCGAGTCAAGAAAATGTCGATTAAATGTAGATTAATAGCATACGGAGTTATTTAAACATCTCTGAATCTAAACACAAGCATTTCAACTTACGATTAGTCACTTTCTCGAAAAGAATTTGCATAAATCAACTAATGGTGATCTCTGAATGCGTTTTCAAAGACGAATACGAAAAAAGGTCAATTTTATCGACCTTTGACTTTTAAGATGTAAGTGTGCTATCTATTGAACATTACATAAGATGAAAGTGCGGGTAAAAAGCGTTTGTACAGAGACCGCCTACTTACTTCAACTATTAAAATATGAGGTTGCTAAGGTTGCTTATGACGTCGCTCTTGTGCATGTCTACATTCTTCTGTGATAAAGGGTCAGTGTAACCATCTGAGATATTAAACGTTTAGTTCAAGTTCAACTCCTAATTGGGCCAAACTTGGAGGCACATGATGTCATTGTTAGTTCTTAGCCTTCCTGCGATGTTCTCTTGCTTTCAGTTGGCTGCGTTTCCTTTTCTGTGAAAGGAAATGAATTCGCAAAAAGTTACACGTCACATTTAGCTCCAAACCAATGCTGCGTTGTAGAAGCAGGAGAAAACGAGCACCGGTGATCCTGACTCATATAAAGCTTGCTAAATTGTCCGAAATTTTTTTCACCGGGGACTCCACCTGGTTTTCCATCAAATTCACATCCCTCTTCTGTGCTATTGTAACTCCTTATGTGCCAGGACACATCTTCCTGCTGTTTTGTCAGGGCGGTGCAATCAGAACAATTGATTCCTCGGATATTGACATATTCGTACATCTTGCAGGTGTCCCAGGTACCAAAAATGTCATGACCTGCCAGCTTAGCGCGTGCGTAGTCCGTATACTGCAGGCCATCCGTAGAAAAGTTACAAGTTGCTCTCAGATGTGTGGAGTGATTAGCAAGATACTGCATCTGTGATAAGGATAGTCGGAACTCGTTCCAATTTACTTCCCCCTCTTCAATATCAATCTCAACGTTTTTGCCAAACCCTGCATAATTGAAGGCATTTCTCTTGGACAAGGATAACGATTGTATTAACGTCCATACAAAGCCAGGTTCAGACTGCAAGTCACAGTAAACAGAAAACCGTTCATTGTCTGAATTTGAGATGTCGTATTTTCCTGATGTTGAAGCACCATTCTTAGCTATGTCTTTGCAGCTTTTCGGATGTTTTATATTCTCACACCGCTGACCAGAGTATGTGTTAGGACAGGTGCAGTTAAACCTGGTGCTGTGAGTGTCACAAATCTCCAGACATGCCCCTCCATTGAGACAAGGATTGGTGCGGCAGCATCTGTTGATGCAATGATGCTTCTCTGGTGTGTATCTGTCTCCATCCTACAGCAAGATTAAAATAATTTTTTAGCTCACCATGCTCATCGAATTGGGTTGGCATATACTTTTTTGGCAACCATCGACAAATCTCACCGGAATCGGATCGAATTGATAACAAACAATGCGAGCAAAGTACGTATGCGTGCAACGCATAGCGGGGTGCCAGAACGGAGATGAAATGTCCCTAAAAATTAGATTTGAATTGTAGTAATACAGCAATGGTTAAGTCAGTGATGTATTTATGAAATTTGTAGTCGCTTCTGTTCTGCCGTTCCCTTCGCATTACAACATGGTCGTTAAGGAAAAAGTTTGCGAGAGAGAGAATGGACCCAATCGTCTCTCAGTCAAATCAGTTTGTTTTTGTTTTGTCTAGACCAATCATATCGCAGACAAAACAGTGTGCACAAAATTGTCTTTGGCCCGGACTGACATATGACCCACCTCTTTTTTAAGGAGTACCGCAAAACTTGATCATGTGGGAATATTTATTTTATTTACGAAAGTTGATAAATAAATGAATAAGGAATTAAATGAACAGTGTTATCTCACCTTCACCGTGTAGCTCCTCACCAAATCGTAATAATTTCCCCCTTGCCTCCATTTCATCGCCGCTGGTTCCATGTCTTTATTAGCAACGTTAAGTTCGCAGTTATTTTCTTTGGAGCGAGGGAAATAGTTCATAGATACACACAGGCAGTCATCTTTGCACTTCAAGTGACACTGGATGGCATTGGGCACTGTTAATCTTTGAAACACGTGACCCTTAAGAATTTGGTTATGGACGACATCTTCATCGATAGCAAACTTGAAGTTTTGACAATTTACCGCTTTCTTTGCCACAGAGGAGAGTGTCAAATTGAATACAAACAGCATGACTTGGAGGTATTGTACGATGCCCATAGCAATGGCACTATTAATATGAAGAAAGAAGAAGATACATGATTATTACCTCTGACAAGCATGGGTTAATCTGGAACGAAATGAATAGATATTTCGGTCTCTTGCTTAAAAGCGACCTCCATTGATAAAACTTCATGATATCAAACATTTGCTCATTTGTGGAAAATGCATGGATGCATTTTTCTGATTAACTATGAAATTGTTTCCCTTAAAGCGTTAACCATAATATATTTGCAACGGAAAGAAAATAATCGTTAGCAAAAAAATTGCCAAATTTTGGTCGTTAGCCGTAAGAGCCATAACCATATTTAGACCTTCTTCTGATTCAGTAAACGTTTTGGAAGACAGAAAAGAGTGTATTCGTCTCGCTGTGAAGTCGATCTTCACTACAGAATCACCTATTTGCGGAATTTCGAAAAGAAGACTAGGCAAACATTCAAGCCCATTATTGCAGTCGCTGTGCGCAAAATCTGTGAAACTCACACTTTCGATCGCTATCTACTTTCGATCGCTGATCTAGCCAAAAATCATTTTTTGGCTTGTGGCAACGCAAAAAAAAGAGAATTGGATAACAACTACACTATTTTGGAAACATGTGTCTTAAACCCTTTTCATGGGCAAAAAAGAAAAGAAAAACTTTTTTTCCGACGGGAAGTCGAGAGGACTGCTCTTAGCGAGAGTGGCACCTTACAAAGATGCCCGTGTGGAGGCCGTTAACAAATTAAAAAGAAAAAAGATCTGCGTATGACTTTTCCACGGTGTGCGGTGATCTGAAGCATAAAAAAAATTAATAAAAGTTGGAGTCCCGTGACAACTGACAACATATATAAAAACTACTTACCAAAAGAAACTCAGTGACATTGAATTAGACATTCAATACTGGACTAATGTTTAGACCATTGTGATCTTTCGCAATAATGTATATAACATGCGATAAACAAATAGAACCTTTTCGCAAATACCAGATGCTTCAGATGTGCGCGAAAACTCTCACATAGATGACATTCAACAAAAACACTAAAGTTCTGTCTCCAAATTTTTCCTCCCATTTTATTGCGAAAAGTTGCGTAAAATATATCGATTTTTAAGATAGAAAGTCATGTGATATAAGAAAGTTTTCAAGCCGGCATATGTGTTATGAACGATGTCTGATGAATCACACTTAAACCTAGATGTAAACATGAATTGGTTAGATACTGTTTCTTTCCAAAACAATTTATTGTTGATATGACTTCTTCAGTCTGGTAACTGCCAACGGAAAATTGATAATAATTATAGCTAAGAGTTAGAGTGCACTTCGTGATTAGGGAGTGACTTAAGTAAATTTAGCTTCAAATCCCTTTCCACACTTTACATGGCGTCTCACGGTTTTCCTTGAGAAGAATTATGGGGAAGAAAATGATGCTTGCACCTTGCACCTTGCACAGCATTTTCTGTAAAATCACTCTACTAATTTAATAGATAAACCGTGATATTATTTTCATCTTAAGATTTCTCCCTTTTATAATATACCTTGAGTGTACTTGTATTTGGTTTGGTGACCTAAAGCTTTCTACTCCGCCGTTGTTAAAGTCCTGTGAAAATTTTCCTACATAAACTGGTCATTCGGCTGGCATTGGATGCTTAAACGCAAACAGTTATATTAACGTTTTTATCTAGATTAAAAACAGATTTTATCTTGTTGAGCTGGCTGTCCAAATAGGAATTATCTCAACTTACCTCCTCTTTCCGGCCTCCTCTGCCTTTTCCAATTTTGGCTTTGCTCCTCGATACGCGGTGAAGACTTTCACCTTTTTATCACTGAATACAATTAAACTTCATAATTAGAAACGGAAGAGAGCATAAACAAAGAATGGAGGTTGCCATCACCAAAATAAAGATACTTACAGCTGGGTGCCAAAAGTTATTGTCCCACTATTAAAAGGAAAAAATTTCGTACGTTTCCACAAAGGAATTAATTTTGCTACTGTTAAATAGCTTGAAAAAGGCAGGTGAAAATTTTACATGAATTATCAATGATGGTCCATCCGGCTCCTGCTTTTTAATTTTGGCTGAACGCTGATAGAGGGGCTCACAAATAAAATTTCTTAACTTTAAAAATTTAAATTTAAATCTCTTAACTTTAAGAAGTAATATTGTTCTTTACGCTCCTATAAGCATCACTCTTCTAACGTTTGGCTCAAAGAAACAAAAGACTGCTATGAATTCTATGATTATCTCGCGCGTGTTTATCAAGGTTTGTCAATTATTAAAGACTAACTATTTATACCTCTGAAAGGACCTCGATCTCATACCCCTCTATTCCGATAACGGCTACAACTCTGGGGGAAGATCTTGCCTTTCTGAAAAACATAGTCTATTTTCTTTACGGGTTGATATATGAACACAAAGTTCACGAGTTTTTTGACCTTGCCCTTGGTTTTAAATTCAAGTTTAATAGAGTTCCGACTCCCTCCTTGGCTTTTATAATTCTGACCGTTTATTCAAAGTGTTTTTAAGAATAAAAATGTGGCTAAACGAAGATGTTGTTTCTTTCAGTAGACATGTGTACTTTGTCATAAGGTTTTAGAATTGTTACGAGACGTTTTCAAACTAATCGACTTTCAGTAACTTTGAAGGCAAATATCTTTCTCAAAATGAAGTGGAACTTTGTATTCGAAACATTTTATTTGATTAATTTTTATTGCTGAGTTGCAAGCGTTCCCCTACGACCGAAAAGTTAATTCAGGATACGGAAAAAAAGTTTGCTTAAATATGAGTGAACTGTAAATACGAGCCTGTTTTGAAAGGTTATGTGTCTTTTTGTGCCCATTGTACAACAAATATAGGCTGATATTTGGATCAGAAAATGTAGGGGTACACTTTCAGGTTGTTTAATGGCACGAATAATTTTCATTTTCTTTTTTTTCTGAGTCTTTAAAGGAGAAGGTGTGATTAATTTTTTATTAGCCTTTCCACGGCTTAAAGATTTTGAAATAATTTGAAATTTTTTGTTTTTAATTTGTTTTCTCGAGTTTGTTCGACAATTCACTGCTTGCCTCTAAATCTCTCTTTTCCCTTTTCTTTCATCCGTGAGAAAGCGCGAGTCTCCAACTCGAGTCTGCCTGAGGTAAGAAAAAAATTTGAATTGAGAAATGATAAGCGAGAATTTCGTATGCGGCTATGCTACTTGGAATATGAAATTATATTTTCATATCTTTTTTACCTAACAGTAACTTATGACATAGATCCTCTAACCTTTCGCGAAATGTCAGCCGTAGAATGATTACGCCGTTGCAATGCAGTCGCGACACCAAATTGTCACAAGACTTTTGTAGACCAGCGACCTTGTCGGAAAACTCCTCACCTGGTTAAAGCGAAACTTTTATGCGCTGATAATTACTTTCTCCTTATTAATGCATGAATAGGAACGTTCGAGATCTGTAGTTTATGATAATTATTGTAATTCAAAAAAATGTTCTGTTAGCTCGGATTAAAACAGTCAGACGTTTCTCTTAAAACGTCTCAATCTACATCACTTTTTTCAGTGGACACCGCCCTGTAATTAAGCCTGAGTCACACAATTTGGCATTTTAGTAATTAGAGCATGTCTTGAAATGAACTATTGTTTTTAGGTGAACGAAATGGAAATAACACTAAAACGCTGTTTGTAGGCAGTTCACAAGCCAATGACGGAATATGCATATCTAGCATGAGCTGACTATTTAAGTCACATCTCAGACTTCATTCATTTACTCGTTCTTTCTTCAACTCAATTTGTAGTTGGGCGCACGCAATTTTATGAGCCTTTTATGAAAAAGCGTAGTAAGCTAATAAAACTTTAATATTGCTGTAAGGTGGAGACAAATACAACAAGGCTGAGAGACTCAATCTATTTTTCATAGATGTTGGAAAGAATTTAGCCGAAAGGTTTCCAAGTGCTTGCAATCTGCACTTGGACCTGACGGTTTTTTTGCTGGTAGCCTGCCTATTGCAGGCTCTTCGGCTGCAGCTGGGCTCTCTACTGTGTTCAAGCACTGTTTAACTACTATTAGCTCCCCTGCGTTGTCCAAAATGGCAAAGATTAATGCAATCTTTTAAAAAGGCCACAAAATGGAAGTTTCAAATAACAGACCCATATCTCTTCTATCCATCCAAGTAAGCTTCTCGAAAGCTAGGTGTGTCACATTATCGATGAACATCTTGCTGATTGCAAAATACTTTGATGCATTTTTTAATTGTTTTCCTTAAAGCATTAACCGTAACATTTATCTTAATTGCAACGAAAAGAAAATAATCGTTCGCAGTAAAATTACCAAAATTTTAGCCGTTAGCCGTAAGAGTCGTTACCATATTAAGACCTTCTTCTGAGTCAGTAAGCGTTTTGAAAGACAGTAAAGAGTGTATTGGTCTCGCTGTGAAGTCGATCTTCATTACAGAACCACTTAGTTGCGGAATTTCGAATTTTCGAATTTCGAAAAGAAGATTAGGCAAACATTCGAAGGAAATTGCTCCTCGACGGTTTCTGTTAGGAATGCTCTACAAAGGAGCCGTAAACGTTCTTTGCAGTTTAGCCTAGGCTGAACACAGTTTACAAATAACTGATTGTCAGCTCAAATGCTAAGCTGATTTCTCTTCATTGCCCAGGTTGCAATGGAGGGAGATATATTGGCAAGTGGAACTGATATGAAAAATAAACGAACCAGTAATTGCTGATTAAAAGTATGTCGGTTACAGTTAGCTGAATGCAAAGCTAAATGTCGAAGTATATCAAATCTCAGTGAAACTGCCGCTGCAATGAAATTTATCAAAAACTGACGTTCATGTATCAAATCGCCCAAGTTTGAGGAGTGTTTCTTGAAACGTAAAACTTTCCGTGTGTGTCCTTTATTTAAAAAGAAAAGCGTTTTGAAGATATGAGAGATCTCAGAACGTTTTGTGTTAGAAAGCCAAAAAAGGAAAACTCTACCCACCATCAATTATTAAAAGATCCTCTTTCAGCGATGCACTTATGAGTCTCTGCACTCTACAAAATCAACTCTAAGAACGATTTGGAATGTATTATTCACGCTTTAATATTTAAAGACGATCGCATTTTTTCTATTTACCATAAGAGTAAGCTTTCTTTCCATCGATGAATGAAAATATCTCAAGTTTCACCACACCTATAAATTTTGCAAACATATGGTTGGTTTCTTTTCCAGCTTTAAGAAAAGGAATAGAGTACAAACCAGTCGGCTAAAAAACTTTGGTCTTATGTTGTATCCGTAGACTGGAAAACACATAAGTTCTGTCTGTGGAGCCAGTTAGTAATTATTCACCGAAGTGGGGATGAATAGGGGTGGACATTATCTCTATTATTTACATCGACACTCAGGTAAATGAATGTTTTGGTAGTTCCCAGACAGAGGCCAACAAATGTATTTACCGCGGGCAATAAACAATAAGCCTTGACTGCGCTCTGTCCTGTTATAAAGCACATAGGAAGCGGCTAGAGCACGAAAGAAGTGTAGGGAGAAACGCGAGACGTAGTCCAGCGTTTCCCCTCGCTTCTTGAGTGCTCTAGCCGCTTCCTAAGTGCTTTACAACAGAACAGAACACAGTCAAGGCTTCTCTATTTTTTTTTTATTTTTATAATAAATCATCCCTTAAATTCCCCAAGCATTACTTTTAATTTTAAAAACAAACTTTATTTCCGAAGCGAACAACAATGTCGTCAGCCTGCTCTATACTTTCATAAATCAAGCAACAATAAGCCAATCAGAATCCCTGTTCAATGGTTCAATTAATCTGATTGTCTGTACAAGACTAAAGCTGCCAAAAATGTCAAACCATGAAAGTTAAAAAACCTTCAAAGTTCACATTCTGCGATAGTTTACAGACTTAAATAGTTCGGCAGGTCGAATTTAACACTTTTGTCGGAAGGTTTTTAGTCTCTAATACAGAATCTGAACGTGAAATGTTCAGTGAACTTCAGCCGAATTGTGGTTCATAAAAACACGTAAGTTTTTCACATGACAAGTAGAAAACAAAGTGTTCAAGGCAAATTTTTTATGAATGAACGACAGCCGAATTCACCGGAACATGAAGATCGCTTGGGATGATGTGGCCTTCTACTCAACGCATCGGAAAGGATATCAGAGCAAGCCCTGATTTTTTTTCACTCGAAGGACGGCCGATGTAGTTTCTGAGGCATGATTCATTGCGATGTCCGGAGATCGCCATGACGAGCTAGCCGCGATGGACTCAGCATGATCACATTCGCTCTGACACCGTCTTGATTAGTATGAATTTTAACAGCTAGGCCAGTTTGGTTATATTTTTCATCATTCCTGTTTTGTTCTGTTTTGTTTTTGAACACAAAACTTTATATACTATACAAGTGATAGCTGTGTTTGATTTTTGTTACCGTACGTAAGCTCGCAATCTAACTGCGTGAAAACCTTTAAAACTCGGACTGTCCATTTTGTTTTCTCTTTGAGGATTTTCGTCTCTGCTCCCATTTCAATAACGTAAATTACGGTGCCTGGCATGTTTACAAACCTAGGTTGGGTTTGTCTGTTGCTACTTAGCGGCTCGCTTGTTCCGAAATTTCACTTTCAATTATCGTAAAAAAGC